AAACAGCTGCGCCGGTAAGTCCCACTGTGGGAAATGAGATGGTGAATGTTTTCAAGTGCAGTATTTACATCCCCTGCCAAACCCTTCACATCTGCCCAGCTCTGCCGTCAAGCCTCCATCCATCTGGCCGGGAACAGCAGGTCCTCCAGCCTGCCTGCATCCCACAAGGGCATTTCCTTCCTGCTCCCTCAGTGCCAGCTGCCAGGGATGCTGCTCAGCAGGGAAGGGCTCGAGTGAAAGCACTGAAAGGAGGAGGGTGGCTGGCTTGGTTTTTCTTGTAGTGCACGTGAAGTGAATTCCCAGCATCTCTGGGAGCACTCGCTCCCTGCCTGAGATCTCACGTGCTGAAGGGGCGATGAAACACTCCTGGGTTTTGTCCCTCTTCCTTACAGTCCTGCCACTGCTCCTGGCAGCCTGAGGGCGTCTGGAGTGGGGGCAGTGGGTGCTGCTTTGCCTGCTCCCCTCCTCTTCCAGTCCTGCAAACTCCTGATCACAGCACTCATGGATAAGGCAGTTGTGTTTACCCTCAGGCACATGGTGTGACTCTTGGGGATAGCCTTGTGCAGGGCCAAGAGTTGGACTCGATGATCCCTGTGGGTCCCTTCCAACTCGGTAAACTGTGATTCTTTGTCCACGGGTGGGTGTCCCCACGCTGCCTCCCCAGGGCTGTGCAGCACCTGAGACATCCTGGCTGCCTTTCCATCTCCGCAGCGGGGTGGGCTGTGGCAGGGCCACCCCCCTCTCCGGTGGCATCTCCTCTGTGCCCAAGTAAGGGCCACCACACCCCCTCTGCCAAATGCCCCCCTGTTCCGGGGCAGCGCGCTCGCCGGCTGGGCGGGATGTTTGCCGGCGGCAGGAAAGGTGGAGCCGTGCCGGGATCGCTCCACGACGCCGCTCTGCTCTCCCCTGACCCTCTCGTTGTGTGTTCCCCCCACAGAGTGCGATTGCCATCCCGTGGGTGCCGCCGGCCAAACCTGTAACCAAACCACGGGCCAGTGTCCCTGCAAGGACGGTGTCACCGGCATCACCTGCAACCGATGCGCCAAAGGCTACCAGCAAAGCCGGTCCCCCATCGCCCCCTGCATAAGTAGGTGGATCATTCTTTCAGTGTCTGTAGATTAGAGATATTAACCCTTAAAAACCTGCAGGAGCCACTGCCCGTGTTGGGAGGCTGCTTAACCCCCTCACGACCGTGCCAGCGGGCAGCGCTCAGGGGATGGAGCTGCCTGGGTACCCCTGCCATCCCCACTGCCCACAGGAGGGAAAGTTGTCCAAAATCCAACACTAGCTTCCAAACAGCTCATCTGCCTCATTGGGTGGGTTATGTGAGTGCAGTTACAGACTAGTTTAGTAGTAATTTGATTTTCCTTCATGGAGCAAAGGTGCCACATCAGGTCTGGATGCTATAGCAGACCTCTACAAACAGGATTTTCTCTCCCAAACCAGGTTGTGCTGCACTGACACAGAGCTCAAATCAGAGGAGCTGCTGGTTTGGTGGAGTTGCCATCACAGTAAGGCAGCAATAGCACCTGGATTGCTAAAGGGGGTCTTGCACTCACACAGCCCTCCGAGAAAGAGGGGCTGTTTTATCATTTGCATCCTTGAGCTTGCTTTTCAATTCGCCTTCCCAAAGCTGCTCTCCTCCTCTGCTCTTAAAACAACAGCAGGGAGCACCAGGTACAGCTCCCAAAGTGTCTCCACTGCAGCATTTGCTCTGCAAACACCCAGATCCCCACTAAGCCCCTGCTGAGCTCTCACTGCCCAGGCAAGGTGGGCTTTAGCCCAGTGCTCCTCTCTGCTGCCTGTTGGGTTTGCTGCTGTTGGATCATTCAGTGGCTCATGCACCTTGTGAGACATCTCCCCCCACCCTAACAAAAGGAAGCATCCAAATTGGGGTGCCTGGAATGGAATGGGATGGGAGGGAGTTACTGCTCCCCTCAAGGGTGATTCCCTGCTGCTAAAAGGGGGAAAAAGCCCAACAAGCAAAATGAAGGTTGAAAGAATCAAGTCTTTGCTGGGAACCCACAGTGTGCTCCTGCACTGTCCCCTAGCAGCATCTCCCTCTCAGCATGGCCACTGCCAAATTATGGAGCAGATACCCTTTCTCCACCTTATGCTGAAGAAAACATGCATTCTGGGGTGGGTTTTGGTCACTTAAGATTCATTTTTCCCCGTGTTGCAATGGGACAGCAAGAGCTCAAACCAGATGCTTGTTTCCCCAAGATCTCCAGTCATGGCTCCAGTCTGCTCTGCAGCAAGTATGCACAAAGGTTTATCATTAATCATTCCCCAGGGCCATGGCAAATCAGAGAGTAAATTGTTCCTTGCATCAGCTCCCTCGGGATTTGTTGCACTAAATAAAGTCAGACACAGGATTTCAACATGACCCATGCAGGGGTTTGGAGCCGGGCTGTGCTCACGCAGCTCCCAACCCGGCATGCTCAAGGCTGGTGTGAGCCTGGCAGGGCTGCCCTGCCTGGCACTGCCACCTGGCCACCACCAAGCACCCATGGGAGCCACTTACTTCTGTGCCACTGCAAAACATCCTTGCCCAGGGGCCACAGCTTCTGCTAGAAATGTTTTCCAAACCAGGCTCTGGCCTGGCCGTCAGGCCCATGTGCAGTCTTTGGGAGCTGAGTCTGCACACAGGACACTAAAGCAATTAAAGTGAGGATATGAGCAACTCACAGTTCCCTCATCCCAGAAAAACCCAAACCAGCACATTTTCATCCTTGAAAAATGTCAGTCAGCATACCCTAGGTGTGGGAGGGGATGGAGTTCACACATATTTGGTCCGTGTGTAGTGGAGGGCTCCATCCCTGCCCACGCTGCTCTCCCACTGGCACAGACTCACTGCCACTAGCAAGGGGCTGTCACCTTGCCTGCAAGGACACAGTTACTCTCTGATTTACCACTGCTTATATTTTCCTTGTCTGCCTGCACTGCAGGCAGGAGCACCCATCCAGCCTTTTGGGATGGCCGGGATGGCTGTCCATTTGCTGCCTGATTATGCACCACATCTTTCACATGGGCTATGCCTGTGTTTAATTGCATGAGGGTGAATGACTTGAAAAAATCCCCTAATGCTAATTGGGCTGCACCCCTATGAGCTGCTGTCACCACAATGCAGACTGACCCCAGCAAACCCTGCCTTTGTGGCCAGGTGTGTTCCCAAGAGCACAAGCAGAAGGAGGCAAATGCTGACCCCCAGCTCGTGCCTAAGTTCCACTTTCAAACTGGGCTGGTAGGGAGTTCCCCCACCAGGATTACCAGGAATGCACAGAAATTGCATCACCATGCCCTGAATGTGTGAAAGATGTCTGTGATGAGAGTTATGTATGTGCTCTGGGAAAGCAGAGCATCCTGCAAAGCTGGGGCCACCCCTCCATCCACAGCCCATCATTTTAACTTCAACAAACACAGCCAGGCTGGGGCATGAACATCCCAAATATGTGGTTTTTGCTCTGCAAGGCTGGTCCCAAATCAAAACCAGGGACCAGAAATGTTTGTGTTTCCCTTAAATGTGTGAGGTAACACTTGCATCCCTGCAGAGAGAGGCAATGCTTCACCTGCACCCTATCTCACAGGAGAGGAGCGCTCACACTGCCTCAGACACGGGTGGAGACAGCAGCTGGAAGGGACAACCCTGGGACAGGGAGCGGCAGCAGCATTCCCACTGCCTGCAGGGCCTGGGCACAGTGCAGCCTGCAGCCACAAGCCAAAATGTTTTATTTAAAAACCCCTTTTCCCACACCCTCTAGGGAGGCCTGGCTCTCCAGTAGGTATGGTCCAGGTGCGCTGCTCTCTGGGGCTCTTGCAATGCTCCTTGCTGGAGGACGCAGTTGGGAAACCCTCCGTGCTGGTAGACACAGCTGGGGAGGGAACATGCAGTGTGTGCAGGGGCCAGGCTCTTTGGGATTTGGAATGATTCCTCCTTCTTTTATCTCCCCTCTATCCGTGTCTCCTCGCTGTCCTGCGCAGAGATCCCCGCCGCGCCCCCCACCACGGCCGCCAGCAGCACGGAGGAGCCCGCAGGTACGTTCTCTCTCCTTTTGAAGCATTTTGATGCTAAAAGTCTTCTGAGCAGCCCCCTCCCTCGAATGAAATTGCCTCAAATACATGAATTCTGGTGTTTGTACTGGGACAAGTGGTTTCCTTTTACGCCCAAGTGTTGGAAACAGCTGTGCAGCATCCTGAGAGACGGGTGTTCCTCGGAGCATGTGGGAGTGTAGGGAAGGTGGAGAGAGGTTTTTCCAGAGGTTCTAAATCTGTAAGCACACAGGGTGGAATCCAGTGTGTGTGGCTCCACTCAACGTGGAACCAACACTTGATGGAAAAAAAGGTAAGGATTTGATATCACCACTGGTTGATTATAAAGTTTTGTAGTTACCTTCTTAAAAGGAAGGGAACAGTTCCAAAGAGCTTTTCTGGTGGAGAAGGACTGGAGAACCAAAACTCCTCCAAAAGGGAAAAAAATACCTAATCACTGCTTACTGCTGCATAGGAGCATTCCTGTTATATTCCTAGATCTGTGCATCCCTTGTGCCAAGCACTCTGAGGTGCTGATGTGACCTGTGGGTGTTACAACAGTGTGTCTCATGTCCGGGTGTGAGCAGGGGATGACAGCAGGAGCCAGAGAGTCTCGAGAAAGGGTGACTTGTCCCACTGGCTGCAGGTTCCTGGGGCATTTGAGCAGCGCCACAGCTGTGAAGGACACGAGGTGTAAAGGCTGTTTACTTTTGCCTCAGCAGTGTAGGTGGGTTCATAAATTAAGGAGTTTGTACTAAAAGTGATGGACGTCACCTTGGATTGAACTCTGAGATGAGGCTCGTCCCGTGGCAAGGATTGTTACACAGGCTGTGTGTGTCGCTGTGTGTGCTCAGGAGCTCTCCCAGGGAGCAAAGGGACAAGGTCTTAGGTCCCCAGTGTCACAGCAAGGTAAATCCCAGGGTGTTCTGCAGGACTGATTTAAAGGGCAAGTCCTGCTACACGTAAATGCAGAAGCAGCAACTCTGTGTTTCAGCATCAGGCTGGTCTGGGCAAGAATGATCTCCCAGCCTTGGGTTGTGCCTGTTGTTTCCTGTGTGCTTCTGAAAGTGTTCCCTCCGAGCTGCAGGGCTGGAAGGAGCCTGAGGACACAGCAAGGGCTGTCCCAGGCAGCCTCCCTCCAGCCCAGCCCTGCTGAGCAGCCCTCTGGCTGCTCTGCCTTAGGCATTCAGTGCCAACATGAGGTGTGTTCTCTGGGGAGTCCATACAAAGCAAGGTGTTGGGTTATCAGGAACAGGGACCATCACACTTAACCTGAAGCCAAGCAGGAGCAGGTCTTCTCTTCCTTACAACACTGTTTCTTGGCATTACCAGCCTCAGTTACCCAACTCCATCAGGAGAAATCATCTTCCCCAGATCCTCAGGAGCTTAATCATATATTACAGTGCAGCTCACCATCTTCTTGCAGCCACACAGGGCCCCTCCCCAAGCTCCTGTTAGCCCCTCTGTCTTGTCCTGGCTGTAAGGGGAGTTGGTGTGGGGATGTCCCCACCTTGGCCACCTGTGCAGATACCAACACAGGAGGGAAACAACTCCTTCCATGAACTCCCCCTCTGCCCTGGGCAAATGCCAACTGGGGCAGCTGCATTTGGCCATCCCAAATCCCCACGTGCCACCCTGATTGGCCACAGCCCTTGTCAGTGCCCGCCCTGAGCTGGCAGGGCTGCACCCCCTGGGCCTGAGCCCCCCCAGCCCCTGGGAGCAAACAGCTTCACTGGGAAGGAGTGATTCCCACAGCTCTGCATCCTCCTCGTGGGGAGGGGGGTTATTTAGTTGTCCAAGCCCAACAGAGTTGCCATAAAGCCAATAACTGAGAACATCTCAGCAGGGTTAGAGACACCTCCCTTCAGCAGAGGAACCCTTGCTGGAGGCTGGGAAAAGGTTATCCATGGAGGTATTCTGACAGCCTGCGAGCCATGAGCAATGACTTGACAGCACCTCTTGGATCCCTGTGCCACTGGAGGGCTGGATCTCCCCATTCCCTGCCAAGAGGAGTGACCCAAAGACCAATCCATCTCACCTAGAGCCTCTTGTCCTGCCTCCTCATGAAAGCTGAGCCAAGCTGAACAATCTGATGGGCCCAGCACCCCATCATAATTCTACTCACAGTGATTTTATTGGACTTTTTAAGCCCTGTTTTGTCCAAGGAGCTTTAACCCTCCATATTTCATCCCTTCCCCTCGAGGGGGACCATCTGACAGTGCTGTGTCTTGGCAATCCTCACCCCCCCACCACCACCCTGTAGAATTCTGCTGAACTTCATGGGGGTTTCAACAAATCCTTAAATCAGCGTGTCTGCCAGCCAGAGCTCCCATGCTGTGGGAGTAAAGGGGTTACAGAGATGGAGAAAGCAATTAGTGGGAGGTTTTGGATGCAACCAGTTCTGGGAGAGATGCTGCTTTATTTCCTTTGCTCGAAGCTACACGGGACAGAAAGCACCACCCTGGCCAAGAGCTGAGTGAGCGTCACTGCCCTCCCAGCCAACGAGGGGCACATTGCAGAACACCATGGGCCAAACCTGGCCTTGGTACAAGGGGTGGGACAACATCAGCTTTGGTGTGGGGGGTCCTGCCTGGCTCTGCTTAGCTCTCAGAGGTCCCAATCAATGTGGGAAAACAGTCCAAAACTGAATTGTTTAGATGAAATGCATTCATGCTCTCCCATTCCAGGAGACTGGAGGATGAGGAGGGGCTGCTCCTCACTTTTGCAGCCTTTTTGAGGCAAGAAGAGCTCGTGCTACCACCCTGTCCTTCCCTGGTCCCATTCAGAGATGCAGAAGGGCCCACAGTGGAAGGGCAAACAAAAATCACAGTGGGGGGTAAAGGTTTACAAACCTGCCACTCAGCCATTGTCTTATCTGAATCAAATCCAGATTGGCTTGGGAATGATTATCTGAGGCGGATGATTTTGGCTAGGGGGCTTAAATAAAACCAGGTGATGGGATTGATGCAGCCTCACATGGTTTCCCCCTGGAAATCAGCCTCTGCAGCTTCAAAACCAGAGCTGGACTTTTCAAATGTCATTTGGGCCCTTTTGTTCCTGGCTGGTGAGGAAGAGGCTGGAAGCGAGTGCAGAAAAGGGGGAAACCCCCAGTCTTGGTGATCCCTGGGGCTCCCCCAGTGTGCACAGCTTGGCTGCAAGTTGCAGCTTTCCCAGACTGCAGAGGTTGGTACATGCCTTGATATCCAAATTTAGCCAGAATCCTCCCCCAGGAACCGGGAAAGGGGAAAATTTACCTCCCTGATCAATTGGAATGCTTCTGTTTCAGCAGCATTTGCAGGTAGCCAGAGTATTCAAACTCTAAAAAAGGGTTGGCTTTCTCTTCTCTGATTGTCAGAAGCTTTAATCTTTGCCTGTCCATGCCTAGATGAACTGAGGTGACCCAAGGCCACCCTCTGAGTGTCCTCTGTTCCCAGGCACACACCATCACTCCAGGGACAATCGCAGGGTGAGCAGCAGGAATGGGCTCCTGCATCCCTCAGCAGAAGGGCAAAATGCAGACTTCAGAGCGTGGTCAGAGGCTCACAGCCCATCTCCATAGATAGGCATGGAGGAAAAAGAGATCCCTGGCGTCTGCTGCCACCAGCATCTGCATCACCCCAGCAAAACCCCTCACCAGGCACAGGCAGAAGATGAGTTAAATAAATCCCTTGCTCCCACCACATGTACAGGAGCTGTGACTGAATTTCATGGCTCGGGCAGCTGGGAGAAATCTCCTTATTCCCATCCTCCTAGCTAGCCTGTACCCCTGTATCCCCGTGGGAATGTGCCTTTTGGCTCCACATCTCTGCTCCAAGCAGAGGCTGTGGATCACTGTCCCCCTGCTCACCGCCCCATAAACACCGTGATCATCACTGCAGCAACAGCTTCAAGGCAAGAGTGACAGTAGGAAAGGATTAAATGTACCACAGCTCCTTTTAACGAGCTGCAGCAGCTGGAAACAAGGAGTCAACACCATGTGAGCCGCCAGCTGCCTCCACAACATCTGCGAGGGGCGCGAGGCTTGCTCGGAAAATGAGCGGGGACAGGAGCACAGCCAGGCTTAGCTTTGCTTCGGATTGGAAGCAGTGACCTGCCTCGGCCATCACCCAGCACTGGTGTTCAGTGAGCACATGAATGTGTGCTGCCACTCGTGTCAGCACTCACAGGGTCTGCAGGGGATCAGCAGCACCGGATCCCAGCACAGGGCCCTGCACTGCTCACCTCCTTCCCAAAGGGCTCCCGAAGGGCCAGGGGGAGCTGCCTGCTTCCAAGGAAGCTCTACCAGCGTCAGCTCCGCCTGTGGAGAGCCGGGCGCATCCCACAGCCTGGGAAGAAAGGTCTGCCCAGCTGCCTGTCGGGGGGAGAAAATGTCATCTCAGTCACCCCGATGTAAATCTGGGCTCAGTCTGGGGGTCTCCAGCTTTGTACCCATCCAAATGAGCAATGAATTCAGCCCTGCATGGGTATTCTCTGGCCTGTCTCGGGCTGTAAGCGAGGTGATGGATTGACTGCATGATTGATTGACTGATTGATCGGCCGCAGCGTCCAGCTCCCTCCTGAAAAGAGGTTTCTCATGGTGATCTGCAGTGAATGGCTGTGAGCACAATAGGGGTGAGGGGCTTCCAGAGAGGAAACTTCTGGTCACTTCAAAATATCTCAGAAAGTCCGGGGGAAAGAAACCAAAACAAACCCCTCAAGACTGCTGAAATGCAGATAAGCTTCCCACACAACTGCACTGTGCTCTTATCACCCCAGTGCAGGGCTTCCTGCATCCCCACATCCATTCATTCCTCCATCCCTGCATCCTTCCACTCCCAAATGCCCCCATTCCTCCATCCCCACATCCCTGCATCTGATTCCCTCCACTACCAAATCTCTCCAGTCCTCCATCCCCTTGTTCTTTCATCCCCATATCTCTTCATCCCTGCAATTCTTTCTCCCCACATCCCTCCATTCCTCCATCCCCACATCCCTTCATCTCCTTATCCCTTCATTCCTCCATCCCT